CCCCAAAACCCCAAAACCCCAAAACCCCAAAACCCCAAAACCCCAAAACCCCGTGAACTGGCCTATAAATTGAATTTTATACAATAATTAAGCTCTTATTCTAAATGGAAGATATAGTAAGAAAAAATAGTGCCAGGATCAGGTCTGAGCTACAAGAGTACAAGGAGTTACTCTTGGAGACCCTGAAGGCTAAACAGGGATGTGATGGTATTGATTCGAAAGATTTGGTACTGGGACTTAAGACGAAATTGATGAATATCAGGTAAATATGATTGGGTTCATACATCTAACTCACCTCTAGGAAATCCTACATAACCTCTCGCCAATCCCTCAACGATCTCAAAACCCTCAACTCCCAACGTGACAAAATAGACTCAAAGAACCTGTCTCTACAGTCTCTCCTGTACGAGAAGCACTACCTTGACAAGAAGATCCATGTGTGTAAAGAATACACCACTCCTGCACTACTCAAGCTCCCTGAATCCAAGCTCACTGCTGCTTTGGACCAGGATGCTTTGGATAAGATAACTTCAATTTCTTCAAAAATTAGTGACGATGATCATAAATCCTTCCTAGCCCTCGAGCAAGCAGAGCTTTCAGCTAGAAAGGCCAAACACAAATTATACGAAGACAAGCTAAAACAGACTGAATTTCAGAAGGAAAGACTTATCAAAAGAAGGAAAATTATCGGTATGTCCCGCCCGTTAATATTATAGATGAGTTCTCCACTAGCCTGAAATCACTCAAAGTCGCTGGAAATGAAGCCAAAGAATGCTTCACAGACACAAAGATTGAAATAAAAGAAGAGAAAAAGATAGAAACTCAATCACTAGAAGAGCCTCAGGAACAGCCAAATAGTGCAAAAGAGTCAGATGATGCCAGCAATGCTGGCAGTCTCTCCCAAAACGAAAGCAATGACCAAGAAAAGCAGGTTAGCAAGCGACAGATCCATGATAGCGATGAAGAAGAGGCTCCTCAAGCCCAGGTCGACCAACCTGAGCAACCTCCCATTGAAGCCGAGGGCGAAGATAAAGCAAGTGACAAAGCAAGTGAAGAAGAATCAGAACCAGGAGAAGAGAAAGTAATTACTTAAAACTCAACCACTTGGCTAATTTATGGGGTTTTGGGGTTTTGGGGTTTTGGGGTTTTGGGGTTTTGGGGTTTTGGGG